ATTAAAAGTTCTTCAATTGAGGACAAAGCTTTTTGTTGTACAAACAGAATTGAAATGCAAATTTCTGTCTGGAAGAGATAATAGTGATCTATAAAATCATGCTGAAGTATAAACAACTAATGGCAGATCCTGTGTTTTCGTGGTGGTGGGGTAGAGGCATACACATGTATAAGAAAATAGGAAGAAAAGCCGGGCACAGTGGCTCACACCTGTAATCCCAGCACTTTGGGAGGCCAAGGCGGTGGATCACCTGAGGTCGGGATCAGCCTGACCAACAAGGAGAAATCCTGTTTCTACTAAAAATACAAAATTAGCCAGGCATGGTGGCACATGCCTGTAATCCCAGCTACTGTATAGCTATCAGGGAGGTGGACGCAGGAGAATCACTTGAACCCGGGAGGTGGAGGTTGCAGTGAGCTGAGATCATGCCATTGAACTCCAGCCTGGGCAACAAGAGCAAAACTCAGACTCAAAAAGAAAGAAAGAAAAAGAAAATAGGAAGAAACAATATTTGTAGGCTAAGGTGGAAGGATCGCTCAAACCCAGGAGTTCAAGGCTACAGTGAGCTATAATCATGCCACTGCACTCCAGCCTAGGTGACAGAGTGAGAACCCATCTCAAAAGCAAGAAATTGTGAAATATGAAGAAACAAAGCCTTATCCTAGAGTTACACTTTAGCATCCTGACATGTGACTTCTCTGAAGGAAACAAGAACACTTGATGGTTCAAGTCTCGAAACTAGAGTAACTATTTTCTTGTTATCAACAGCCAAGATAGTCTCTGTAAATCTCAGGTCCAACCCAGCATTCAATTTGTAACCATAAATATTTTCATTATTTTTAAAAATTTAATTCGTAATAAAAATAAAATTCTTTTTTTGTTTTTTTGAGACAAGTTCTCACTCTGCCACCCAAGCTGGAGTGCAGTGGCATGACCACAGCTCACTGCAGCCTTGACCTCCCAGACTCAAGCAGTCCTCACCTTGGCCTCCCGAGCAGGGAGGACTACAGGTGTGTGCCACCACACCCAGCTCATTTTTTTTATTTTTTGTAGAGACAGAATCTCACCATGTTGCCCAGGCTGATCTTGAACTCCCTCCTGGGCTCATGAACTCCGTCCTGGGCTCAAGCAATCTGCCTAGTTCAGCCTCCCAAAGTGCTGGTATTACAGGTGTAAGCCACCACACACAGACAAAAGAAAATTCTTTTTTTTTTAATCTTTTTTTTTTTTTTTTTTGATTCAGAGTCTTGCTCTTGTTGCCCAGACTGGAGTGCAATGGCGCAATCTTGGCTCACTGCAACCTCCGCCTCCTGGGTTCAAGTGATTCTCCTGCCTCAGCCTTCCAATTACAGGTCTCTGCCACCAGGCCCAGCTAATTTTTTGTATTTTTAGTAGAGACGGGGTTTCACTATGTTGGTCAGGCTAGTCTCGAACTCCTGACGTCAGGCAATCCACCTGCCTAAGCGTCCCAAAGTGCTGGGATTACAGGTGTGAGCCACCACGCCGAGCCATAGAAAATTCTTAATATTAAAGTATGTGAACTTTGTTTTTGACTCAAAAGTTTTATTAAAAGAAAAAGAAAGCAAAGGAAAAGAAATGCAAAAATAAAATCGTTATAAAGAACTACTTTTCTAAAATAAAAATTTAAAAAACACCATCTTATAAGCAAACAACTAGCAAATGTAATCAATAAAAAAAGAAGAAATACAAAATGCAAGATATGAGAAAGTGGAATAGGAACAGAAGTCAAAATTTGGCCAAAAGTCCAGGTGCGGTGGCTCATCCCAATAATCTCAATACTTTAGGAGGCTGATGAGAGGCTCGCTTGAGGCCAGGAGTTCAAGACCAGCCTGGCAACCTGGGGAGACCCTGTCCCTAGCAAAAAAAGAAAAAAACAAAACATTAAATCCAGTATATAATCTTTGCTTGCATCTCTCAAAAACATATCTTTAGGATTCATTTATACCCAGAGAGACCAATCCTTCTTCAAATCCCCTTCCTCTCTTCCCCAAATCTCCCAGGACACTCTAAAGCTCCCATTTTACAGATGCCTTAGAGTTTGCCTCAAATATTTACCTCATATATCTTTTTTAGTCCTTCTCCCCCTTCTCTCTTCACTATGTAGATTGGTTTAGCTTCACTGATTTTTTTGTTTTCTTTCCACTTCTCCCATTACTTGATTTCTCTACTACAAAGGATGTTCTGGGAACTGATTCAACAAGCCAAAATTGTAACCATTCTTCTCATTTTCAAGTTCCATCTTTCTTCCCCTTTTCCTGATACTTTTGTCAAAATCTGGGGACCAGACCAAATACATAAATGAATCTATAAATCTTATTCCCCAAACCCATCCCATCATAAATGTTTCAGAGTCAAAATCAGCCCTGAAAGAGAAGCCCTAGGGAACCAAGAGGATTCACCCCCAGAATTCAAGGGTGGTTCAATATTTGGAAACCTAGAATAACATTTCATATGAAGATAACTTGCAAGGGAAGTCATGGGATCTCAATGAGTGGTGAAAGGCATTTATAAGTACAAACAGAAAGTTGCTACGGACAATTTTGAATAACTAAAACGTAGCTGGTGTCTTACAGACATTGAGGTTGGGGCAAACAGAGAAAAAGCCACTGCTTTTCTAGATCTACTGTTAGGAACATCAGATCCAGGACATGAATTACCTTCACGTGTGTCATTCTGACTCAAGCAAATCTGGTCTTGCAGGATGCCTGTCTCTGGAGGGCCATAGAATACTCTAATGAAACTGGTATTATTTGTAAAAAAAAAAAAACAAATTATTAGCCATTTTTTGCTTTATCAGCTATTAATATAAACAATTGAATGTTGATTACATTCCTTTGTGACCTATCACTTTTTAAAATAAAATTTGAAGCTTTTTTCACACCCCCAAATATGTATTCACTGTAGCTAATTTAGAAGCATGCACAACAATATAACACAATTTAAATTATCCACATTCTTACCACCAAGAGAGGATCGCTAATTAACGTTTTAGTATATTCTCCCCCAGCATGAATTTGGGAATGCAAACACTCTTGATGTTTAATTAGAACATAACTTGGTTGCTGGTATTATAACAATCACTTCTATGTTTCAAATCCCTCAATGGAACATCAGAGGCTACTAAAATAAAGAGTTTTGACAGATTCTCCAGGCAAAAGATTAAAGTTTGTCGGCCCAAAACACTGGAGAAATTAGATGCCCAGTGGTAGCAGAGTGACTTTCTGTGTGTAGTTTGGAAAAAAGGCCTGCCAGTTGGTTCAAAATAATTAGAGTCTAGGGAACACACACACACACACACACACACACACACACACACCCAGCTGAGAAGATCTTCCCTAGATAATCCATGGATTATTGATTTTTGGAGTGCCTCTCTTGAAATTACATGCAAAACATATGGGAAGGGGGATATCATCTTCACCAAATTCTGGATCTACAACTCCCTCAAAACGTCAGGAGCCCTGGTATATAAAGTCCATTTCAATTTTAATATTCTGTACTATTTGGCATTGGGACTTTTATTCTGCCTCCTTAAAAGACAGAAGGCTTGGCAGAGCTGGAAAATAGATGAAGCTAGGTTCTTCTAACAAAAGAAGGTTTGCGGGGAAGCTGACCCATGGAAAATGCAGACACAGCCTTTACTTTACCTAATACCTCTGTGTATTGACCATCCTGCTTTGACAGTGCTTCCTCTAATATCTGACCACCAGTGACTTAACAATCATCGACGTAAAAATGATGCCATTTTTCAAGAATATGCCCAAAAGAAGTGTTTGCTTCCAGTGCTACTCCCAGGTCCTCTTGCAATGAGAAGGTTTCTAACTTGGGGTCAAATTAAGAAAATTTGCCAGCATATTTTCTTTCAACAACTATCATGCATTTGACATGCCCCAACACCCATTTCATGAGTACCAGAATCAGGCTTCAACCTTGGCTGTAGCCAACTTTATTACTAATTTTTTTTTAATAGAAAGAATGTTTTGTTGGGTTTGTGTGTTTTTTGAGACAGAGACTTGCTCTGTCGCCAGGCTGGAGTGCAATGGTGCAATCTCGGCTCACAGCAACTTCAGCCTCCTGGGTTGAAGCAATTCTCATGCCTCAGCCTCCCAAGTAGCTGGGATTACAGGCACATGCCTCCACATCTGGCTAATTTTTGTATTTTTGGTGGAGACGGGGTTTTGCCATGTTGGCTAGACTGGTCTCGAACTCCTGACCTGAAGTGATCTGCCAGCCCCGACCTCCCAAAGTGCTGGGATTACGGGCGTGAGCCACTAAGCCCAGCTTCCAGCCAACTTTAGAGTCTATTTCGCCTCTCAGTCCAACAGAGAGCCTCCTGGTCAATAGTGTATTTTTCGTATTTTTACCCACACACTGGTTTTCCCTCAAACGTCTATCTTAATTAGGAGATCTGTTAAACACACATCAGTATTATTTTAAAAGCCCCTTACATATTTAATTTTGAAGTATTGAGGAAACATAAGATATATAAAAGTGCTTCAAAAACAGCTGTCTTATAAAAGACAATTAAAAATTTATTGTTCAAATGCTGCCATCTGGTGGCCAAACGTGGGAGGCCCCGAAAATAGACAATTCATAGAAAAAGTACGGAAAACCCCAATTTCCCTAATCACTTGCTTTGTTAGTAAAGAATGATAATTTGGAACATTCTGTGGAAAAATATTAACATGCTTATGTTCTGCTAATTCTAACCTGTAAGATGTACTTTTTCCCATAAACACTGGCAGCAAGATGTTTATCAGAATGTTTCCAAAGTCATATGAAGAAAAAATGAAGGCAAGAAAAAAATGTTTAAATAATAAAAATTAAAGGTCAACACCTGTAAAAAGAAGGATTTTTTTAAAAAAGAAAAAAACTTTCTCAGGGCATAGACGCATACTCACTGGACAACACGTTTGATAAATTCAGATGTAACAGAAAAAGTTTTTCCTACATCCATTCCAAGTGTATTGACACAGGTGTCATTCACACAACAAAATTTTATTGGAAGCCTGTTTTCTTCCAGATTCTTTTAACTTCATTGGGTACAAGATGAGAATCAAAAAACTACCTTTCTAGAGAACCTTATTAGAAACAGGGATCCACGCTGTAAGCTTGTACAGTCTTATGGCCCTCAGTCTCAAGTGAGTGTGAGCTAAAAGCTTCTGCCTCCAGGGGGTACCTTTTCTCATTCACATAAAGGTGTCCCCTTTATGTGGGTTTGAGCTACTGTGGAGATGCGGGGATACAGATACCTATTGGGGCCTCCCTCCCACCACTTGGGTCTTTCCTAATGCCTGGCCAGCTGGAGGGACCATATTTTAGCATTTGACCTATTGACCCTCTTGCTTTGTCATAAACATCTTCCACTTTACCAGTTCTTGAAAGCAACAGAAAAAAGTTGCTAGTCTCTGAGCAATGTTATTTGTAACCTAGGGAATGCTTGTGATTGTGGAAATGCTATCCATAGTAGAGAAGAATCCAGCTGCTCAACTGGCTCTTCAGACATTCCCAGATGCCCCCTCCTGTGCCCTGGGCCCAGCCTCTTACCTCCAGAATGCAGCTGGGGAAAGAGCAGCAAGGCTGGTTATCTGGTGACCCAGGACATGGAGGTGCCTCTGGACCCTGGCAACTCCAACCAGCATTGTAAGAGGACCTCCTAGTTTCTGGGGAAGCTTCTACAAAAGGTCCTTGGCCAGCAACTAATTCTTCAATGTGAATGAAGATAGTTATTTTCTCCAATAAATGTTAAACAGTACAGGTTGGGGGTGGGGGCAGTGTCAACTTTCAATTTGTAGCTGCCAGGACTACAATGCTGCTTTTTGGTTGCTAAAATATTTTTTTAAAAAAAAGAAAAAGCCAGGTGCAGTGGCTCATACCTGTAATCCCAGCACTTTGGGAGGTGAATGTGGGTGGATCACTTGAGCTAAGGAGTTTGAGATCAGCCTGGCCAACATGGTGAAACCCTGCCTCTACTAAAAATGCAAAAATTAGCCAGGCATGGTGATGGATGCCAGTCCTCCACGGTGACCTGGAACCCTCTCCTGTACATCCCAGATGCGGATGATGATCCTTCTCTCTTGAGATTCTTAAACTAGGGTCCATAGACCCTACAGAAGCACTTCAGTGGCTCCATAAACTCTCTGATGACATATACAAAATATGTAAATGTACATTATGCTGAATGTACATAATGTTCATTATTTCCATCACATTTGAAAAAATTAGTCTGTGGTAGAATCTTCAGAGGTCTGCAAAAGTCTCTCTCTGAGTTGGAGTTGTTGGAAGCAGAGGGAAGCAGTTAGGCCAACACTGACAGATAAGTCCTGAATCTCTGATATCCAGCCATGTCCAGTCTGTGTGACCATGAGATGCCAGGCTCTAGAAAATGTCCCTGAATCAGAAGACATCCTTAACGACCACCTCAAGTATGATCTGGTCCCTACAAAGACCATTTGTACCTGGGTATCTCAAAGACAGACCCAGAGGAGGAAAAACACTTACGCTCTGAGCCTAAGGCTGGTAGTGTTCATTACAGGTTCTAGACAAGCCCCTGGACTGACCTCTGGGCATGAAGAGGGAATGGGAGCCATTGAGGGGGAAGTCATTTCCAGACCTGGCTCCTAAGACCCAGGGGCCCAAGGGGCTCTGTCAAACTCCTAAGAAAGGAAGCGCTGATCCCTGTAACGATGGACTCCCCTTCACCTAATGCCAGAGGTCTCCGTGGACTCTGAAATAACCTTGAGTCAGCAGAGGGAAGGTAGTCCTATGACAGGCCCAGGCAGCTAACCAGAAAATGCTATTGTGTCCTGGCAGGGCACAGCCAAATCTGGAAGCCTCAGAAATGCAAGGTGCTTTGAAGCCAAAGGTTCATTTATATTGTGGTTCTGAAACCTCAGTAAAATAAAGTTCACCCTGGATGGTTTAAATGAAAATTCCTAGGCCCTCAGGATTGTGACTCAGTAATTCTGGGGTTAAACCCCCAGTGCTTATATTTTTTTAAAGGGAAGCCAGTAATTCTGACCTAAGGAGTCCAGGGAGTACATATTTAGAAAGTTTCTAGGGGTGGTAAGGCTTCAGATGCAGAGAGAGGCATGGATCAGGTGAATCCTCCTTCCCAAACTCCATTCAGATAAAAGCAGAGGCTTCCAGTTACCATTTATTGGGTTCTTCTCCATGCCAGATACTGTGCTAAACCCTTTACATAGATTATTTAATCCTTATAATCCAACTCTGTTATGCCCATTTACATATGTGAAGTCTGAAGTTCAGAGAAAATAAGTAATTTGCCCAAGATTCCTCAGCTCTGAGTAGCAGAGCCAGGATTGGAACCCAGGTCTGAATCCAGAGCCTGTTCTTAACTAATATGCCCATGATTTTCAAGAGTTTCTGTACTTGGTACCTGATGACTGCACAGAAAAGACTACGAATGCAGCAGGGTTGGAGAAGAACTTCCAGAAGCCACAGGGTAAGTAGACAACGACTGCAGGAGAAGAAGCAGACAATCAAGCAGGCCCAAAGGCCCAGCGTCAAGCCAGATGGAAAGAACTATGGATGGATGGGCTAATGAGGTAAGGATTACATTCCTGGAGTGCAGAAGGAGCAGAGTAAAGAGAAGAAAGACGTTGGGTAGTGAGAGATGGACAAAAAGGGCTAAAGGAACTGGATGATCTCAGGGAAATCAATGAAATACCACACAAAGCTTTTGATCAGCACAGATCCAAGGACCCTGGCCTTCTATGGCTTCTGTTGTTAGTCTTGCATTTATACTGTTCAGAAATAATGAGTTTGATGCATCAGAATCAACACCAATTTTGGATGGTGCCCAGGACCCATTATGGAATATTATTAGATCCTCATCCATTAAAGGGAAATCACAATAGTACCTAATCTCATAGAGTTGTGTACAGTGAGAATTCAATGAGATCATTTCAGCAAAGTGTTTAGCATAATGCAGGGCATATGGGAGTGAGACAAATGCGAGCTGCTATGATCATTAATTATGTAATTATTACTATACCCATGCTCACTAAGTCACCACTGTGGCATCTTGCTTGTAAAACACATTGAGTTCAAATGTCTCTATGGAGTGAGGCTTTTTCTCTCCAGAAGAAGCTTTTGTTAAGGGTGTTTTCTTTTTTTTTTTTCAAATTGAATATTTTATTAACATGGTAGTTGTCTTTGTAACATGTGCACACACACACGCACACTCAGAATGATCTGCCTGGGGAAAAAAATACTAAATATGCCTAAGGGGAAAATGAAAAATAAAAAAAATTCTTGTAGGTTTTCATTATTGTAGGCAATTATGTCCACATCACTTACAAAGCTATTGCCAAATCTGACCAAGGAAGCAGAGTTTGAAGGGGGGGCGGCTAGGGGCGAGAATCTTGGGAAAAATTCAATAGTGGCATAGCAGAGCTCTTAATATGAGAAAGCTGATATAATGTGGACTTTTGCTGTGAATTTTCTCTTTGCAAAATATGGGGAGAGGTTTATCAATGGGCAGAAAATAAGAGAAGGCGGTGTGAAGTAGGCTTTTGTAGTCAATCTTCCTCACAGTATTGTGCAGGATCACCCAGAAAATGCTTAGTCTTTCTCTGGAACCAGTTTCAGAACTTTTCCAATTGCAAATGTCTTACCCTCATCTCTTAAGGTAAAACGACCCATCTGAGGGAAGTCTTTAAAGGTCTCAAGGCAGATGGTTCCTGCTGTCCTCAAGCGAGCAATGCATACTTGATCTTGTTTCACAAAACGGGGTCGGGTCTTACTTTTTTCTCCTGATTTTTTGTCTACCAAGCAGATTAAGGCTGTTATTTCGACTTCCTCAATACAGGTATGAATATGCAGCACCGCATTATAGCCTGGGCAGATGATGGATTTGTGCTCTATAATTACTATCTGGGCATCGAATGTGCGTCCAGAATGACAAAGATTATTAGGATCACAAAGTATAAATCCTGGAAGAATCTCCTCTTCTTCAATTCCTTTCAGTCTGATTTTGAGGTTTTCACCTGGGGCTACAGTATCAGTTTCTACATCATCAGAAAGTATTCCAAGAACTTCCACATTGTGCTTGTTTGGCATCATCACAAGCTGCTGACCTTTACAAATAGATCCTGATTCCAGCTTTCCCAGGACCACAGTGCCCATATCCTTGTACTTATCCACAATTGGCAGCCTGATTGGTCCATCAACTGATCTACTGAAGTTTGGCAAATTATCCAGATACGGAATAAACGGTAATCCAATGTACCAAGGACAGAAATCTGACTGCTCTTTGAGATTTGCTCCAGTAAGTCCTGAGCAGGGCATGAAGTGAATGTCCTTTTTGGGATTGAAGCCAACTTTTTTCAAAAATGGCACTAGTTTCTCTTTACATTCTTCATATCTCTCATTGCTCCAATTTACCGTTGGATCATCCATCTTATTAATTAGCACAATTAAGTGTTTTATACCTGCTGTCTTTGCCAACATTGCATGTTCTCTTGTCTGTCCTCCTTTTTCAAATCCAGTTTCAAACTCTCCTTTCCTGGCTGAGATTACCAGCACAGCCAAATCAGCTTGAGAGGCACCACCAATCATATTTGGGACAAAACTCTTGTGGCCAGGGGCATCTAGAATTGTGAAATGTTTCTTTTCGGTTTCAAAATAGGCATGACCCACTTCTACTGTTTTACCCTTGTCTCGTTCTTCCTGATTTGTGTCTAAGGCCCAAGACAAGTACCAAGTTTCTCTGTTTTTCTCTTTAGCTTCTCTTTCATACTTTTCAAGTGTCCTTTCGTCAACCATTCCAGTCAAATACATTATTTGTCCTCCAATAGTTGACTTGCCAGCATCTACATGCCCAATGAATACTACATTTACATGCTCTTTCTTAGGAGCACCAGGCAGTGCAACCACAGATTTCGGTTTTGGGATTTCCTCTTCCTCCTCCATCATTTCATGGGTACTTTCCTCTGGCGGCCTTCCATCTCCCAAGGAACCACTCCCCGGCTCTGCTTCACTTATTTCTTCTTTGTGCTCCCATGATTCTTCTGGGGACATTTCTGTCTCTCCATTTTCTACAACGGGTTCTGAAAGTTCCATGCTAACTGCTGAATTTGAACCTTCACACAATGACTGCTCCTCTTGAGAGGATTCCACAGGTGCTTCGCCTCAGTAGTTCTTTGCTCTCGGGTGTTTTCTTTTTCCTCACAATTTGAGTGAAAAGTCACATCCCCAAAATATCCACAATTTGATCAAAAACAACGTTTTAGTTTTCCCTTCACCTTTAGTTCTAATATTATCCCAAAAAACAACTAAATACAACTGTTTCAACCAAACTTGTTCTCAGGGAAAAATAAAGTAGTGGCTCTGTGCAACTTTTTCATTCACCAGTCACCTTTTCATGCATTGGTATCCGCTGTGATTGTCGGCTGAACTTCGACAGTTTGCACCTACTTAAGAGAGAGCCTCAATTAAATTAACTTTATTTTCAGACAACAGTTCCAAGGCGACTTCATAGCTGAATCATAATGAACATGTGGCTGAGTGTTTCCTCGCCAGCCAGGAACCCTTGATTTAGAAGAAAACTCCACCCTCTACACCCTCATCTGGCTTCTTTGCTCACAGTGAAGAACTCATGAGACAGAATTCCTGAGAAGGGAGCATTTAGGTGATCTGGGATAGAAGGGCATGGAAAGACTGGACAAACTAAGCCTCCCCATGAAGGAAGGGGAAAGAATATCAAAAGAAAACAAGACCCATCAGTATCTTCAGGATAAACAAGAGGCCACTCTGGCTGCTCTGTTTAAAGGGTGTCTATGCCTACAGAGGTAGAGGATAAATCTAAGAAACAGAAATATATAACCAGCCCACTGCTTCCATACTATGCATTAGATCAACGTGAACATGGCTTTGCTCCCACTGGTCAGACCTGATATGGGTCCTGAAGATGGTGGGTCAGGTATATTTCAGCCACCCTCACCAGAGAATACATCTACAACAAACCCAAATTCCTAATTCCTGAACTACTATGAGCCACTCTACATTGTGGCCACTCAATAATAGAAAAAAAGTTGAGAAACAGCTGCATGTTTTAATTTAGGAAGTGAGTAGAAGTTCACAAGCAACCCAGAATAGGTGCCAGTAGTTTGCTCTTGGTCACACTCGCAGCAGCAGTTCAGGCTCCGCAGAGTCACTGTGTCCAGTGCTTCCTGAGATGTTCTTTCAGCTGAGGAATGGAAGGCAGCATCTGCTGGCACTCATGACAACGAAGGGGCAGCTTCAAGAGCTCAGACATCCCATCTCGAACAGTCACTCTACCAGCCTCTCGTACCATCTCAATCACAGCTGCAAGCAAGGAAGAAAAGTCAAGTCCCAGCTACTCTAGAAAACCAATATGAGATACCAAAAAAATAAAAAGAAAGAAATCAAAACCATGACTCCAATCAGTATGCCAGGCCAGGTATTCTAAAGCTCATAAGCTTGAGTTTAGACTTAACTCAGGCAAAAAGAGCTTGATCAGATTATAAATACGAGCAACTTAGCTTTGAAATAATACACTCCTTCAGGACACACTCTAGGCAATCCATGTTACTCTGGCAAGAGCTTATCACAGTACTTTATCTCTGGTTGGCCCTTGATAAATGACAGCTGCCATTGTGAACACCCCAGCAATGCGTAAGCTCCACAGTATACATACCAGGAAATGATCTATTCTACATATACAAAGCCTTCCCCCTGCTATTTCACCATTCCCGACATGAGGGAGCCCCGAAGCTCCCACCCAACTGATGGCAGAAGAGACAAAGAACGGTCCACAGCTTTCTTTTTTTTTTTTTTTGAGACGGAGTTTCGCTCTTGTTACCCAGGCTGGAGTGCAATGGCGCTATCTCGGCTCACCGCAACCTCCGCCTCCTGGGTTCAGGCAATTCTCCTACCTCAGCCTCCTGAGTAGCTGGGATTACAGGCACTTACCACCGTGCCCAGCTAATTTTTTTTTTTTTTTTTTTTTTTTTGTATTTAGTAGAGACGGGGTTTCACCATGTTGACCAGGATGGTCTTGATCTCTTGACCTCGTGATCCACCCACCTCAGCCTCCCAAAGTGCTGGGATTACAGGCGTGAGCCACCGCGCCCGGCCCGGTCCACAGCTTTCTTATCCATGAACTCCAATAATTCTCACAACAGCCTTTAAGCCCCCCGTGTCACAATAAAACACTGACCTTGACATAATAGCTTTCTAGGTCCCCCAAGAAGGCAACTCACAGCAAAGTGGCAATAATACTACAATCCAAATCATCCAGTTTCTTTTCATAGGGCTCCCTTTATAGGGAACACAAAGTTGTACATAGGTTTTTTAGGTCAGGTTGTTATTCAGGGAAACAATCGAATCAAATATGAGAACAGCTCAGAAAATGAAACAAATGTGAAAACCAAAGAACACTGTTTACCTTGTGATTCTAGGAAGTACTCTGTATTGAAAGAATTCCAATGTTTTTTGTTTTTAAGGCAAGGAGAGTCAAAATCCTGGCTGATCACATGAAGGTGTACATGGCTAGTTGAAAGAAAAAAAACTGGGCATTAAACTCTTTAACAACTATGGCTTAATCAAAATAATTAAGCCATACTCAATTCATACACTGCATTCACATTCTTTGTATTGATAGTGTGTCCATTTAATTCAACTGAATCATTCATTTACTTAAGAATATTTAATGCTCAGTAAGTATGTACTAGGGCCAAACACTGTTCCAGGCACTGAGACTTTAGCAAGAAACAAAATGGGAAAAGCCTCTCCCCTTATAGAAATTGTATGTTAAGGAGGAAACACAAATAATAAATAAGCAATTAAATAAACAGAAGAAAACTCAAAGAGTTAACATCGCTAAGAAAACAATAAGGAAACTGGGATAGAGTACCAGGGGGTAGAAGTTGCCTCTTTAGTTAAAAGTGTTAGGGGAAAGCATCTCCCAGGAAGTGACTTGAAATGAGACAGCAGCCAGGCAAGCAAGGTCTGTGGGAAGAGTGTCTCAGATAGTGAGGAGGCCAAGAGCAAGGGCCCTGAGATGAGGAACAGTTCAGTGCAACCAAGAAACAGAAAGAAGGTAATACAGCCCAAATGTATGGCCTGAATTGTTGGAGCCAAGCAGCAGAGACATGGCAGGAGCCAGATCATAAAGGGCCTTAAAGGCCAACAAGGGGTTTGCCCTCTATTCTGAATCTACCGGGAAGCCACTGAAGAATTTTCAACCAAAGAGTGCTATTATCTGATTTACACTTTTTTAAAACAACAAAAAACTTGAATTACAAATTTTAAAATAGACCACAAAAAGTGGGACTATTTTATTATTAAATTCATTCTTTTGAAAATGTGGCCGAGTGGGGTGGCTCACACCTGTAATCCCAGCACTTTGGGAGGCTGAGACAGGCAGATCACTTGAGATCAGGAGTTCGAGACCAGCCTGACCAACATGGTGAAATCCTGTCTCTACTAAAAATACAAAAAACCTAACCAGGTGTGGTGGCAGGCACCTGTAATCCCAGCTACCCGAGAAGCTGAATATTTTTAAGCTCCTTTGGCAAATCCAATGCTCCAGCTGTATTCTTCTGCACCATCTTGTCCATCTTCTTGGCTACAGGAACCACCTCATCCTCTGTGGCTCTGGCAGGTCTTTCCCACACCTAGCCAGCTGGAGGTGAGAAGAGAGTAAAGCTGAGATGGAAAGGACAGCAAGAAACAAGCTTCAGTGCTCCTGACAGGCTGGGCCCAGCCCTTCCTCACAAACCAAGCCCAGAAGGGCAACCTGATTCATACGTTTAAAAGATCACTCTGCCTGCTGTGTGAAGAAAGGACTGTAGGAAGAGTAGGGAGGGACATGGAGAGACCAGTTAGGGAGGCTGCTACAGCAGTCTAGGCCAGAAAATCACAGCTTACACTAGAGCTGAGCTGTAGCAGCTGAGATGGCAAGGAGCAATCCTATTTTGAATACATTTTGGAATTGAACCAACAGAACTTATTAATGGGCTGCATGTTTTGGGACAGTGTTACTTAGTGAGATAAAAAAGGTTAGGTGAAAAAGCAGGTTTGGGGAAGAAAATCAAGAGTGCTCTTTTGGACTTGTTAAGCCAAGTAAAATGCCTTTTTGTATAACAGCTTTCAGTCTTAAAATCAGTAATATGTCACATTCTCCCAATAAACAATCAAAATTAGTCAATATGTGTGCAGAACCCAAAATGAAATATAGGCAGTAATAAATAAGCACAGCTGTATTACAAATGAGTGAGGAAACCACACTAAAGGGAGTGAGGAAGAAAATGTAATAACTAATCTAGCTTTGGAGAACAGTGTTTTGACTAAATACCAAAAGGCTAAAGACAAAAAGAATTACAGGCAAGTACTGTACTCTAGTTAGTTAGTGTCTTTCTCACAGTGGTATGGGTAGGAATCCTGTAACTATTTCATGGGTACACTAGGACTGAACAAGTAAATGAATTTATTGTAACTAATGAGAGCCAGGTTTCTCACTGCTGGAAAGCAGTTACAAAAAAAGGAAAAAGAGAAACAAGAATGAAACTCACAGAGTTGGAATGGCATCAGAGATATGAATATGAACTCATGGTTTTCCACACACAAATAAAGGTAGATAAACACAGAATTATAGGGGTGTGTGTGTGTGTGTGTGTGTGTGTGTGTGTATGTATGGGTTAGGACTCATACATGTATTTCTGTTTCTATTGGCTGAGAGGACCTAGAAGCAAGGACACTCTGGAATCAACCACTTCTCTCACAGAAACCTAGTGCCCAAGTCTTAGTTTATAAATATCATTCTCCAAAAAAAAAAAAGACCTAGGTCTTTTTAGAGAAGTGGTTCACTCCAGATAAACCTGGAACATCTTGTGGGGCCAGAAAATCAAGAATTGCCCAAAAGATGCTGGAAGTATATAAAAGTGACACAAGAGTTGACCTAAAGGGGTTTTCAATAACCAAAGCTGAACAATTTGAGAAACAAAATAATTATAGTACTAAATTATAACGTATAGAATAAACATCCATGAGTCCATACTATTAAATGATTGAATAAGTAACTAATGAAAAAGACAGAACAGCTCTTTCACAAAGAATAATTTCAACTAACAAGTTAGATGAAGGAAGTATAAAGTCACCATAGAATAAATACAATACAATAACTATTTCAGGCAAGATGCACCAATAGATGCTAAAATCATCGGGTGCAAGTTTGAGGAGAAATAGTAGCACAGTCTCAAAATATCTCCCCCAAAATATTCATCAATTAAAAAAAAAAAAGAAAAACAGTAACTTTGAAGATGGAAACCTGGCAGACACCACCTTAAGAAAATAATCACAGTTAACATCACCAGTAATAAACCAACTCTACATCATGCACCCCGATATATTGAAAAAGACACAATCAGAAATATCACTTCAGTAATTTTTTTAAAAAATGCATAACGTCAATCCAATCATGAAAAAAAATTAGACAAACCCGAATTAAAAGACATCTTAAAAACAATGAACCAGTATGCATCAAAAGTTCAAGGTCATGAAAGACAGGAAAGTAGAAATTATCACAGATTGAGGGAGACTAAGAAGAAAGAACAAATTAATGAAATGTGAGATTGGATTCTGGAAAAAGAATAATACAGGAAAAATGGGTGAAGTTCAAATAAGCTCTACAGTTTAGTTAGCAGTGGTATATGGAAGGTCTTTGTTCTGCTTCAAACTTAATTTTTTATATTTTCTTCTTTTTTTTTTTTTTGAGACGGAGTTTTGCTCTTGTTACCCAGGCTGGAGTGCAATGGCACGATCTCAGCTCACCACAACCTCCGCCTCCTGGGTTCAGGCAATTCTCCCGCCTCAGCCTCCCGAGTAGCTGGGATTACAGGCACGCGCCACCATGCCCAGCTAATTTTGTGTATCTTTAGTAGAGACGGGGTTTCACCATGTTGACCAGGATGGTCTCCATCTCTTGACCTTGTGATCCACCCACCTCAGCCTCCCAAAGTGCTGGGATTACAGGCTTGAGCAACCGCTCCCAGCCAATTTTTTTATATTTTCTTAATTGAAAACATTATTTTTACAATAGGAAAAATTATTTTACTTATTTGTCACCTTTTCCTTTCTAACATGTTTATTCAAAATTATATCATAGAGAGTGATATAAAAGGGTATATGAGTAACAACTTTGCTTACTGGCTCATTGTGCCTCACATAGAGAGGCACAGCCTACCACAGCTCTTGCTGTGAGCATTCTCCTTAGCACAGCAACATTCATCATATGAAAAAGGTATGAGCACCATGATCAATCACTATGTGAAAAGGGCTCAGTGGCTAAGGGCCCTGTTAGCCAGGGGCCCTGCAATAGGGAAGAGGACTATGGGTGACTTTCCCTCCTAAATTTTCAAATAAGTCTTTAACAATAAAAAATATTTATTTTTTTTAAAGTAAGGCACAATATATACCCACCCTATGACCTAACAATTCCATCTCCAAACATTTACTCTTTTTTTTTCTTCTTTTTTGAGACAGGGTCTCACTCTGTTGCCCAGGCTGGAGTAAAGTGGCACTATTACAGCTTACTGCAGCCTCAACCTCCTGGGCTCAAGTGATCCTCTCACCTCAACCTCCCAAGCAGCTGGGAATACAGGCATGCTCCACCACCTCTGGCTAACTTTTTTATATTTTTTGCAGAGACAGGGTTTTGCCATGTTTGCCCAGGCTGGGATCCCTAAATATTTACTCAAGGGAAAAAAAAAAATAAAGTACACATGTCCATGATATACACAATAACACACATGAATCCCAAAATTATGCAGACCCAAAAAAGGCAGACCAAAAAAGAGTATGCATTGTATGATTCCATTTACATATGGCAGCTCTAGAAGAGACAAAAACTATCTATGTTGAAGGAAATAAGAGCAATCCTTGAAGGAGGATTGACTAGAAAAAGGCACAACGGAACTTTCTGGGATGAGAGGATAGACATCTTCTGTATCTTAATCAGAATGATAGTGGCAAGATTGTATGCACTTATGAAAACTGATCAAACCATACATCTTATGCAACATATCATATGTAAATTATGCCTCAATTTAAAAGAATCAGTATTGACTAGGGGAAAGTCTGGCACAAAGATTTCATTTGTGTCACGTAGCCAGTAACCTAAGTTATAATTATTCACCTAAATAAAAAGTGAGTGCTGGTAGTTAAAAAAAAAATAAGCAGAGAAAATCCTGTCACATGCTACAACATGGATGAGCCTTAAAGACATTATGCTAAGTAAAATAAGCCAGTCACAAAAGGATAAATATTGTCTGATTCCACTAATATGAGGTACCTAGAGTAGTCAAATTCATAGAGAAGGAAAGAAGAATGGTGGCTGCCAAGAGTGGGAGGGGAAACAGAAAGGTATTATTTAAGGTACAGAGTTTCAGTTTGGGAAGAGAAAACAGTTCTGGAGATGGATGGTAGTAATGGTTGCATAGTAATATGGATAGAGTAATGCCAATGAATTATACACTTACAACAGAAAAAATTATTTTACTTGGCTAAAATGTAAATTTTGTTATGTATATTCTATCACAGTTTTTAAAAAACAAAATAAAAACTCTAAAATCTGGACTCATCATCTTATTGTTTAAATCAAAGGAATCATGGAGATCCATCTTGCTTGTATTCTTAGAAAAAAAAAAATCAATCATTCCTTTCTGAATTTTGGATATAAGCCACAGGAAAACGGACTCTACACTTTTCTCTTATTTTATTTTCAAATCCTGGATCTACTAAGCTGTCATTACAGAAATCTATGATGTTTGTTTCCTTCAGAGTAATGGTCCTCAATCATTTTGGGGTTACCGATGCTTTTGAAGAATCTGATAAAAGCCACTGACCGGCCAGGCGTGGTGGCTCAAGCCTCTAATCCCAGCACTTTGGGAGGCTGAGACGGGTGGATCACGAGATCAAGAGATCGAGACCATCCTGGTCAACATGGTGAAACCCCGTCTCTACTAAAAATACAAAAAAAAAATTAGCTGGGCATGGTGGCACATGCCTATAATCCCAGCTACTCAGGAGGCGGAGATTGCAGTGAGCCGAGATCACGCCACTGCACTCCAGCCTGGGTAACAAGAGCGAAACTCCGTCTCAAAAAAAAAAAAAAAAAAAAAAAAAGCCACTGACCACAATTCTTCATCTAAAGATAATTAAGCTGCTTCATCTAGTTCATATATTAGGCTCTCAAAGGTTTATATTTTGAGAGGAACAAAAAACCAAATCTGAATTATAGGCAGAAGTGGGAACTTAAAGCTTGCATACAAGTCAGGCAGAGAAATGAAAACTTCAGCCCACCGGCTTTGGAAAAACTCCATCCCGCTTCCCTGGGCCTCAGTGCCATCAGCACCCTCAGCAAGCCCAGGCTGAATCTATCTGCCCACCTGGACAGAACCAGGAGCCACCAGCACTACCCACATGGCTTACCTCATACTCGGAATGGCGTGGTAGCCCAATCGGAAGCGGAGTTTGCTGGACCCAGCAATATCTACAATCACCTTTTCCCCCACAGTGTGCATATGCTTGAGGAGTTCAAGGTGTTCCCTGGTCACGGCCTTCAGACTGGAAATGGAGGTCCATGGTAAGACCAGCCAATGGTAACGGGCCTTCGGGTATTTATCCTTTATCACCACCACCTGCTCATCTTTGTAAACCTAGCAGAGGGACACAAGAGAAGGAAACAGACATCTACTAAGAATCTTCTGTGGGTCTGGTTGTTATATTCACTAAGTCACTTAATTCCCATAGTCTTGGGCAAATGATTTTAGTAGCCCAGTTTTGAGAGATGAGAGCACTGAGACTCAGATAGGTTGAGTGTCTTGCACAAGTCACATAGTTCCTAAGAGGGAAATCTAGGATTCCAACTCAGATCTAGTTGACTCCAGAGTCTGTTTTCAACCACCACACCACCCAGAATACACAGAAGATGCACAGTACAAAATAGTTCCCAAAGATCTGATGTAAAACTCTAGGCATACATAAAAAGCATCCTTCTCCAATCCAACATGACAGACTGTGTGACACACACACATGGGTTCCAGTGAGCTCTGTTAGACCTGCCCCTTGTCAACCAGGAATGTAACTGAAGCGGAACTCAAAGGCTGCTCAAGGATGTTGCCTGACTGTTAATGCCAGGGCAGCACAGTACTGCTGTCACAGTATATTATCTCTGATGCTCCCCTGAAAAGAACCACACTAAGGTTAACGCAACTTCCCTTAAAGTACCCAGAAGTTTAAAAGGGACAGGCAGCAGGGATATTCATTTGAAGAACTTAGCTTTTTCTCCAAACAATTCCAGTTGCTACCTTACTACCAATGGGAAAAGCCTCTTGTTCTCACAGAATAGCCGAATGAAATTAATCTCATTCAGAAAGACTGATATCCTTTTATTTCATTTGTAATTAAGACCTCTGTGGAGTGGTCATTTACAACATGAAATGTACTGAAATTCCAAAATTGTATTCTGACCTGCATTTTGGAGTCCTGCATAGAAATCTTCAAGCCTTGACTCCAGTGGCCCAGTGATTGCTTAAAAAAAAAAAAAAAAAGGTAATGTAAATTGCAAATGCCAATAATTAAATTTGGCAATAGTTAATACTGTGTGATAGCAAAGTCCAACTAAACTTGGAAATAAGCTTAGTTTTTGAGAATTAAACAAGATTTGTTTGACTTTATGTCACTCCACTGCCTTCCTATATTCTCCTTTTTTGTTTTTCTGTTGTTTTTTGTTTTTTCTGAGATGGAGTCTTGCTCTGTCACCCAGGCTAGAGTGCAGTGGCACCATCTTAGTTCATTGCAACCTCCACCTCCAGGGTTCAAGTGATTCTCCTGCCTCAGCCTCCCAAGTAGCTGGGATTACAGGTGCCTACCACCATGCCCAGCTGGCATTTTTGTATTTTTTAGTAGAGTAGAGCTTCACCAGGTTGGCCAGGCTGGTCTTTAATTCCTGACCTCAGGTAATCCACCCGCCTCCACCTCCCAAAGTGCTAGGATCACAGGCATGAACACCTGACCCTATATTCTTTTTTTTTTTATTATTTTGCTCTTGCTGCCCAGGCTGGAGTACAATGGCATGATCTTGGCTCACTGCAACCTCCGCCTCCCAGGTTCAATCAATTCTCCCACCTCAGCCTCCCGAGTAGCTGGAATTACAAGCGTGCACCACCACACCAAGCTAATTTTTGTATTTTTAGTAGAGATGGGATTTCACCATGTTGGCCAGACTGGTCTCAAACTCCTGAACTCAGGTGATCCACCCATCTCGGCCTCCCAAAGCACCAGGATTACAGGTAACCACTGCACCCAGCCAGCCTTCCTATATTTACAGCTGGCTTTCTAGATGAAGGCCAGAAATGCCAGAGTATGAGTCATACCTTCTTTGCCCTCTCTCACTCCAACTACAGCCTGACCAATTTTCCACTTTGTCATCAGCATATGAATTTCATGATCTATGAAAACCTTCTATAGATGCACAAACAACTGACCCATTTTAGTTGGTCATTGTTCAGTACACACTGCCATTATTGCTCTATCTTGAAGTGGCTTACCTCAGGAATTTAAGAGACAAGCACATAAAGGAAAATTCACCCAAACAGCAAACAAGTGACTCTTTCATCATGGTTAATAACCCCTCCCGCATTTCTGAACTTTACAGTGTACAAAACAATTAAGCAGTCATTATATTTCACTTCATCTCCACATCATCTACCAATCACACTACCCTCACCTTTTTGACAGGTAAATCTTTTCCCTTCTTTGGGGGCACCGAGCATTGGCTAGGGTTGCTCCCAGGATCCGTCCCTGTACTAGGCTCAGCTTCCTGGGCAGCATCCCTTTTCACAGAATCACTGCTGCCTGATCTCTTTCTCTTCCTGTGTGTTTCCAGGCCAGGGTTCTTTGCCTCTTCCTCAAACTCTACAATATATGGATAAAGTTCATTCACCATGTGGAGAACCTGGCCAGGCTGCAGCTTCACCTCTTGGTCCTTCCCAATTATGACTGAGTCGATGCTGGTGGGATTGACTCCTACCTGTGGAATAAACAATCAGAAAATGATTATAATAACAGCAATAGCACCAGTAGTAAGATAGTAAGTAGTAACACTGCTATGTTAACCACTTACTATATGCCAGGCACCTTGCCTGATGTTCACCTATATTTATCCATCACTTCCAAACATGACAGAGAAGCCTTCACTGGCTGGCACAGACACTCTAAAGTCAACAGTATAAGAAAATTATCAAGTATAAAATTAAAATCCAAGTTATAAATATACCTACCTGCTTTACCTTGACATATCCCTTGTTACACTCTGCTTTCAACTGTACTGAAAGAGATTGGAAAAAGTTAAACACAAATGCAACAAAGAACCAGGCACTTGTTCCTATTTTCCCTAAGGAAACAATGAAGCTTCACTACAAGAGGCAGTTGAAGAGATGTTTCCTTAAAGACCTATTAGTAATCATCTGTTATGCAGGTGGCTGGAGCTCCAAATCCCACCAATTTCTAAGGGTTTAAAGCCTTCCATAAAACGTCCAACAGTGTATGTACTCCCTTAGCTATTGTCAAGATCCCTATGAGGCAGCTTCAATTAATCCCCACAACTTTCCCTATTACAGAACCCCTGGCCTGCTCAGGATCACAGACCCTGCAGCCAGAAAAGACGACCCATTTCTCCCAGCCTGGGCAGCATGGCGAAACCCCATCTCTACAAAAAATACAAAAATTAGTCAGGTGTGGTGCCACACACCTGTAGTCCCAGCTACTTGGAAGGCTGAGGTGGGAGGATCACTTGAGCCCTGGGAGGCAGAGGCTGCAATGAGTCAAGATCACACCACCACACTCCAACCTGGGCAACAGAGTAAGACCCTGACTCAGGAAAAAACAAAAAAAAAGACCCATTTCTCACACAAGCTCTCGGCCAAGGATTAAATCAGGCTTCCACAGTTATTTTGGAAAAATAACAACAACAACTATTAGATGCCTTTAAAAGAAAAAGCAGTAAAATACACATTCCTGGAAAACAAAACTTCAGCTGGCTTTGGGTGGAAGGAGTCGAAAGAATGTTCTAGAAAGATGACTGTAGAAGCAGAACAATCTGAGCATGTGTGAGAAGTGGTAACATTAAGCATTCCTGTTCTGATAAATGAACAGGTATCTGCAGTTGAGAAGGGGAGGAAAGAAGAGATACTATAGCTGTTCACCAGAGAGGACAGGGTGCCCCCCGCACACATGCTCCTTCAGTTGCTATTGTGAGGAAGGGAACAGAGAGAGAAGCAGCTGCTGCCTCTGTATCTTGGGCCTACCCAGCTCAAGCATGGCTTGTTATCCCTCCACTTAGATTACCTTATATAGGAAAGATCATAATCAGTGCTACCGATGCAGGGAAACTTTGCTGTGGAGGATCACACTCCAGGCAGCAGTAAGCATGTTTACAGGAAAAATAAGATACATGATAAGGTTTTTTTCTGAGGGCAAGGACTTTCACGTTATTAAATCCTAAGACAAGTGCTAGATGCCATCGTCTCATAAAGATATTACTCTCTGCATGAGGCAGTATGTAAAGGATGGCACAACCCTATCACTTCTCAGAGAGACATGGTTTCACCTGTAGACTCCAGATTTTACATCTTGCTGCCCATTGAGCAATGTCCCTGGGCAAAGCAGGGCAGGACTCAACTCCACCATCTCATGGTAACAGGATGAACTTGCCCGCTCCCAACCCTCACCCGCCCTTCCTTGAACATTACCACAGTGGGAGGGAAGAATCAGGAATAAATAGGGCCACGGTGTTGGCTCAAAGAGCTCAGTTCCAGAGCTGTATTTTTGGCAGACGATAGATTTTCCATCAAGAGCACCCAGAAAATATGCATCTTTGGTTATCACCAACCCATATAATAGGGATCTCCACATTTCTATGACCAGTTACCTTGCTGTCGAGAACATTTCTTATCAGTGATCTTGGTCTCTGGGCCACGACCAATCACAACTGCTTCCAAATGTGGAAGTCTGATTCGATGGTGCCGGCTATCCTGTCTCACCAACCAGCACACCCGCATCACCATTCTGAGAGACAAAACAAGAGAATCACTAGAAAAACAGATCCACTAGCACAAGTCCTCCAGGGCCACATCCGGTGCCACCACACGTGATTTACCAGCTGCTTGTCTTAAGGCAAGTGACTTCACCACCCTGGTCTCAATTTTCTCACCTACAAACCATGGTAATGACAGGACTCAGGAGGCTATTGTGAAGATTAAATGAGATAATGTGGGTAAGTATTTACCTCCCTGCCTGAATCATGCTAAGCAATCAAATATTTCTTACACATATTTTTAATTTTTTTTTTTTTGAGACAGAGTCTCAATCTGTCCCCCAGGCTGTAGGGCAGTAGCACAATCTTGGCTTACTGCAACCGCCGCCTCCCAGGTTCAAGTGATTCTCCTGCCTCAGCTTCCCAAGAGGCTGGGATTACAGGTGCCCGCCATCACACCTGGATAATTTTTATATTTTTAGGGGAGATGGGGTTTTGCCATGTTGGCCAGGATGGTCTCAAACTTCTGACCTCCAGTGATCCACCTGCCTTGGCCTCCCAAAGTGCTGGGATTACTAGCATGAGCCATCACACCTGGCCTGTTACACATTTATTGATATGCGCTAGACTTTAGGCTACATATCGAAAGTCGAAGGGTGAATAAAACAGAGACATTGTCCCAGTCCTTGCGGAGCTTGGAGTGCAATAGGACAGACAGATTCATATACTAATATTTACAATATAATGTGATAAACACTACAAGAAGAGAATAACCTAGTATGGCATTAGCCCAGTAAAAGGACTGACTGACTTGTGGAGAATATTTTAAACGGCTTCACAAGGAAGGGATATTTATGTGGGGTTTTAAAGGATGAGAAGGAGTTTGCCTGCCAGAGAACTAAGAACATAAAAAAGACGTTCTCTAATGCTTAGGTATCTTTATGTGTCTTAGGTTTTCCTTCCCTAATTGTCATAACATACTGATGTTAGAATATATTTTACTCCCAGCCTGTAATCCCAGCACTTTGGGAGGCCGAGGCGGGTGGATCATGAGGTCAACAAACAGATCGAGACCATCCTGGTCAACATGGTGAAACCCCATCTCAACTAAAAATACAAAAAATTAGCTGAGCATGGTGGCGTGTGCCTGTAATCCCAGCTACTCAGGAGGCTGAGGCAGGAGAATTGCCTGAACCCAGGAGGCGGAGGTTGTGGTGAGCCGAGATCGCGCCATTGCACTCCAGCCTGGGTAACAAGAGCGAAACTCCGTGTAAAAAAAAAAAAAAAAAAAGATATTTTACTCCCATCTGCCAGGAGACAGTCATAATAAACATGCAAATCTACATTTCTAAAGTGTGAACATGGCAATTTTGTGCAATACACAACCTGCAAAATAATGGAAGTACTGATGTTCTTTTGAAAAACAACCCTACGGCCATGTAGACTATCAGTAAAAGAGAAAGAAACAAGAAATTCAGAAGAGAGATGAGGCCTCAACAACGGCCAAAGCAAAGGGGATGGAGAGCAGGAAAAGCCAGGAGAAATCTGGAAGATATACTTAATCACTGATGACATTTGGGGAATGACAAAGGAATAAAATGAGACACTGACCAAAGACTTCTAATTTGGAAGATGCCCATTAACCAAGATGAGAAATACACAAGGAGACATAATTTGGGGATGAAAAGGAAGGTGAAGAAGGACCAATGTCATATTGAAATGTAATTAGTTTAAGTTGCCTGTGGAAGATCCAAGAGTCAAGCTGTAATATATGGGTATGAAGCTCAGGAGAGGGGAATGGATTAAATGCATATATTTGAGAGGCATCAACATGTCATAAAGGCTGAGGCAAAGAGAGAGGATGAGATCACCCAATGAGGTGAAATAGGGAATTACGGGCAGAGAGAGAAGTAGCTCTTTCGGATACCATTCTAGACTCCAGACTTGATCAGTGCTTGAGCCTCTAACACCCCTCTCCTGGAAACGCTGCCTACAGTCAAGGCAGTACTTATGCCCTCGGCACAAGTTTTGTGTCCATAAGCAATGAAAAAAGAAACCCAATTTTAAAAAATCAGTTTTATTAACCATCTGCAAAGACAAGATAATGCAAGGCAAAGTGAGCAAATGACAGGTGAGGAGATGCAAATTCAAATTAGATTAGTGTGAGTATAAAGAGGTAAAAAGTCCTGTATTACCCAGTACAGGCTTCCAGAAGCCTCCTGGTTTAGAAACAGCTAGGAGCCAAGGAGACTGATAAAAAAGAAATAGACTGGGAGGAGCCATTCCATTTTAAAAAGCACAAGTGACAGCACAGATTTCAGCAATGGCAAGCCATAGGTCAGGGTAAAAAGCAGACTTAGTTGGCTGAACCACAGGAGCTTCCTCAGAGAGTCACAAGAAAAAGACAGGTGTTGAAAGAATACTAGTCTGAAACGTCTAGATTTAACATAATCAAGAGGAGACAACTGATAAGTTTTGAGCTTCACAGTGAGATAAAACAACAGAATCCAAAGAACACTTAAGAACTCTGTGTAGGCAGTCTAGCAGGGAGAAATCTAGAGTCAGAGATTAGTGAGGAGGCTGTTAAGATAATATGGGCCAGAGACGTCAAAAAGGCAGTTCAGCAAGTCTCTGTGAAGGATGTGATATAAGTGCATCAAGAGACAGCTATAAATCTAAAATCCTAAACCTGGAGCCTCAAATGTTGATGGTGCCACGGACAGGTCCCACTTTTAAATGCTAGGCATTCCAAGTGGCATCTGTTTGCACTTGCTGGAAACTGATAAATGAGCAGGTAATAGACTGAGAAGTGAAGTATGTCTTCACTAGGCATTAGGAAATGTCATGTGGTGACTGACTACTCACACTGACAATAAGAGAAACCGGAAGAGAACAGAGTTTGAGAGAAGGGACACGGAGGAATCCAACCGGCAATAAAGAGCATGGCTGACAGATGCAGGACAATAGGAACTACCCTTCCTGCCCTCCAACAATACACATACTTTATTCCCCAAAGCTCTCAAGTTACGGTGTTCCTATTTACTACTTCCTGAGAAGCTGAAGCAGTGACTGCACAACGGTTACGTAACTAACCTTAAATAATATCTTTGCCCATTTCAGCCTCCAATTCCAACTTCTAGGAATGGAGTGTTTTAGAATATGGCAAGTGCCAGAAGGCTGGGACTTCCTGAATCTTCAATCCAGTCGCTCCAGTAAAACTCCAGAAACTGAAAACTCTATCACACTAGAGGTCATGCCCATTTTTGCTTATCAATATATCCCTAGCACCTAATCTAATACTTGGCATATAGCAAGCATGCAATAAATATTTACAAGTCAATGATCAAATGATATTTACTCTCTGCGTGACAGTAATAATAGAGTTATCCCAGTTTTCTTTCCTTCCTTCTCTCTCCCTTCCTTCTATGGCTCTTCTTAGGATGGAATGCTCTGTTCCTCTCTTTGGGCAATCCCATCCATTCTCACATCTAGATGGATCCCAGTTCTCTATTTTTCAGCCCAAAACCTTTTTTTTTGTTGTTGTTGTTGAGATGGAGTTTTGCTCTGTTGTCCAGGCTGGAGTGCAGTAGTGCGATCTCAACTCACTGCAAACTCCGCATCACAGGTTCAAGAGATTCTTCTGCCTCAGACTCCCCAGCAGCTGGGGTTACAGGCATGCACTACTACGCCTGGCTACTTTTTGTATTTTTAGTAGAGATGGGGTTTCACCATGTTGGCCAGGCTGCTCTGGAACTCCTGATCTCAGGTGATCCACCCATCTCAGCCTCCCAAAGTGCTGGGATTACAGGCATGAGACACCACGCCCGGTCCAGCTCTCTTTCATTCTAGAGTTGAGGGGATTAGTTAGAAAAAAAATCTGATTATTCCTTAAAGAACTCAAGTGATCTGATAGACCACACAAGGCCAGAAATTAGGTAACCTCAAATAGTGCTGTCTAGTAGAATTTTCTGCAATGATGGAAATGTTCTAAACCTGAGCTGTCCAATAAACTACCCACCACATGACAAGCATCTAAAATGTACCTAGTACAACAGAGGAACTACATTTTTTACTTAAATTTTAAAAATGTAACTTAAAGTTAAATAACTCCATGTGGCTAGTGGGTACCACAATATCTACCACAGTCCTGGAAACTTGCCCAACCCTGTTCCATCTCAAGTCCCTCAGGCCTGAAATTAAACTCATCATACCATAATCCCACAGTGGTTACAAATTTCACCTCCCATTCCTCTTCAAAGAACTAGTCCCACTTGCCCATCCCTGTCTCTCCTCTTTTCCTCTAGAAACACATACATACTGGCATACCTGCTTTGTGCTCTGCTCGATTACATTTTGCAGATACTGCATTTTTTTTTTTTTTTTTACAAATTGATAGTTTGTGGCAAATCTGTGTCAAGCAAGTCTATTGGTGCCATTTTTCCAATAGCAAGTGCTCAATTCATGTCTCTGTGTCAAATTTTAGTAATTCTTACAAAATTTCAAATGGTTGCATTATTATCTGTTATCATCTATAATCAGTGATCTTTGATCTTTGATGCTACTGGAAGAAAATGCCTTCTAGGACTTTCACAGGTAGAGGAAGTCAATGCCTGACTGCAAAGCTTCAAAGGGCAGGCTGACTGTCTTATTAGGGAGTAATGCAGCTGGAAACTAAACTGAAGCCAATGCTCATTTGCCATTTTGGAAATCATAAGGCCCTTAAGAATTATACTCAGTCCATTCTGCCCGTGCTCTATAAATGGAACAACAAAGCCTGGATGACAGCACATCTGTTTACAGCATGACTGACGGAATATTTTAAGATCTCTATTAAGAACTACTGCTCGGGCCGGGCGCAGTGGCTCATACCTGCATTCCCAGCACTTTGGGAGGCCAAGGCGGGTGGATCATGAGGTCAAGAGATCAAGACCATCCTGGTCAACATGGTGAAACCCCGTCTCTACTAAAAAAAATACAAAAAATTAGCTAGGCATGTTGGCACATGCCTGTAATCCCAGCTACTCAGGAGGCTGAGGGAGGAGAATTGCCTGAACCCAGGAGGTGGAGGTTGTGGTGAGCCGAGATCGCGCCATTGCACTCCAGCCTGGGTAAAAAGAGCGAAACTCCATCTCAAAAAAAATAAATAAATAACTACTGCTCATAAAGATTCCCTTCAAAATATTACTGCTCACTGACAACGCACCCAAGATCCCTGATGGAGATGTATTATACAAGGAGATAAATAGTCTTCGTGCCTGACAAAACAACATCCATTCTGCAGCACATGGATCAATAAGTAATTTTGACGTTCATGTCTGATTAATTAAGAAATACATTTCAGCCGGGTGCGATGGCTCACGCCTGTAATCCTAGCACTTTGGGAGGCTAAGGTGGGTGGATCACCTGAGATCAGGAGTTCAAGACCAGCCTAGCTATCATGGTGAAACCCCATCTTAAAAAAAAAAAATACATTTCATAAAGCTATAGTTTCTATAGACCATGATTCCGCTGATGGACCAGGGCAAAGTAAACTGAAAGCCTTTTGAAAAGGATTCAACCATTCTAGATGCCCTTAAGAACATCTGTGATTTATGGGAGGTCAAAATATTAACATAAACAGGAGTTTGAAAGAAGTTGATTCCAACCCTTATGGATGACTTTGAGGGGTTCAAGACTTCAGTGAAGGAAGTCACTGCCAGTGTAGCAAAAATAAAGATAACTAGAATTAGAAGTAGAACCTGTAGATGTGACTGAAAAGCTACAATCTCATGATCAAACTTTAACGGATGAGGAGTTGTTTCTTACAGAAGTGCAAAGAAAATAGTTTCTTGAGATGAAATTTCCTGGTGAAGATGTAGTAAACATTACTGAAATACCAGTAAAGGGCTGGGTATGGTGGCTCACACCTCTAATCCCAACACTCTGGGAGGCCAAGGTGGGCAGATCACTTGAGATCAGGAGTTCAAGACCAGCATGGCCAACATGATGAAACCCTGTCTCTACTAAAAATACAAAAATCAGCCAGGCATGGTGGCGTGCACCTGTAATCCCAGCTACTCAGGAGTCTGAGGCAAAAGAATCACTTGAACCCAGGAGGCGGAGGTTGCCATGAGCCGAGATTGTGCCACTGTACTCCAGCCTAAATGACAAAGACTCCGCTTCTCAAAAAAAAAAAAGGTCAACAAAGGTCAACAAAAATAAATTTAGCTGATAAAAAACAGCAGGGTTTGAGAGGACTGATTCCAATTTTGAAAGAAGTTATACTGTGGGTAAAATGCTATAAAACATCTATAAACTGGGCTCAAAAAATACATGAAATAAAAAGAAAACAAAATAAATGCTATTAAACAGCATCATTTGCTACAGAAAAATCTTTTGTGAAAATCAATCAATGCAGCAAACTTTATTGTCTTATTTTAAGAAATTACCACAGATATCTAAACCTTCAGCAACGATGACCCTGATCAGTCAGCAGCCACCAACGTCAAGGTAAGACCCACCAACGTCAAGGTAAGACCCACCCCCAATCAGCAACATCACAACTCACTGAAGGCTCAGGTGATTGTTAGCATTTTTAGCAAAGTATTTTTAATTAAGGTATGTACATTGCTCAAACATAATGCTACTACACACCTAACATACTACAGTATAGTCTAAACATAACTTTTATATGCACTAAAAAAACAAAACATTCATGTGACTCACTTTATTGCAGTTGTCTAGAACCAAACCCACAATGTGTCTGAGGTATGCCTGTACACCCTTCAGGTATAACATAATGAACAATGTCTCCCAAATAAATCATTCTTTTTTTTTTTTTTTTTCTTAGACGGGCTCATTCTGTTGCCCAGGCTGGGTGCAGGGCATCCTCACAGCTCACTGCAGCAACTTTCCTAGCTTCTTTCTCAACTTTCTTACAGACACACACCACCATGACTTCCTAATTTATTTTTTATAGAGATGGGGTCTCACTATGTTGCCTAGGCTGGTCTAAAACTCCTGGCCTCAAGCAATCTTCCTATCTTGATCTTCCAAAGTACAGGGATTACAGGTGTGAGCCATGCCCAGCCAAAGTCATTCTTAATATGGTCTCCTGGCATTGGTTTATATTCTTTCCTTTCATCTAAAACCCAAGTTCTATTTAACTTTCAAGCCTCACCTCCTCCCTAAGGCCTTCATTGAGCTGTCTTCTCTTCTCTACATCTTCTTATTGGATGTGGTCAAACTACCTTCACAGTTCTCTGAATGTTTAATGGGGATATAATTCTACTCTCAAAACAAGATTATAATCTCCCTGATAACAGACTGCATCACTGCCTACCCATTCACAAAACACTGAGGAGGGTTTCTGGAGATCACTGTCCTAGGCCTTGTCTTTACTCCAGGATCCCCTGGTTTTCAGCGTACCTTTATCAAGTGCATACTATGTGGTAGGTACTATGCTAAATGTCTTTTTTACATGGTCTCATTTTAAAACTCAGAATCCCTTTCTAACAAGAGACAATTAAGGATAAGAAGATAAGTAACATGTTCAAGTCACATAGCCAATATGTGCCAGAGATACGATTTGAATTAATTCCATAGAAGGGGTTCTTAACTGCTGTATCATATAACTTTTGGCTTCACTCATTTGATCATTCAATCAAAATCAATACACTCCTGTATACCTTGTGCCATTCTAGACCTGGGAATAAAGAAATAATGTATGAGCCCAGCCTTCAAAAAATCCAGTCTTAGCCAAGCACAGTGACACGTACCTGTAGTCCCTGCTACTTAGGAGGCCAAGGTGGAAGGATTGCTTGAGCCTCAGGGTTCAAGTCCAGCTTGGGCACCACAACAAGACCTCATCTATAAAAAAATAAAATAAATAAACCTGAATCTTGGCTGGGCATGGTGGCTTATGCCTATAATCCCAGCACTTTGGGAGACCAAGTTGGGTGAATCATGAGGTCAGGAGTTCGAGACCAGCATGGCCAACACAGTGAAACCCCATCTTTACTGAAAATACAAAAATTAGCCAGGCATAGTGGTGCATGCCTGTAGTCCCAGCTACTCAGGAGGCTGAGGCAGAACTGCTTGAACCCAGGAGTGGAGGCTGCAGTGAGCCAAAACTGCGCCTGTAATCCCAGCTCCTCGGGGGACTGAGGCAGGAGAATCACTTGAACCCGGGGAGCAGAGGTTGCAATGAGCCAAGATTTCACACTGCACTCCAACCTGAGCAACAGAGTGAGACTCCGTCAAAAAAAAATTAAAAACCCAAATCTTGTGGAGGAGAGAAACACAGAAACAATTTTATTAATAGTAGGTATGGTAAGTATGATGATTGCTCTGTGCAAAGGATATGATGGAAGCACAATGCTGGAGTACCTAACTGAGACTAGGAGGAAGGAGGTGTCAGGAAAAAAATTCCTGGAGGAGGTGGACCTAAACTTTATAAATGAGTCCCATTTATAAACTGGGTTAATTAGGTGAAAAGGAGCAGCCTAATTAGGTGAGGAGCAGGAGGTGGAGAAAGGAATCAGGGAGAAGATTCCAAGCAAAGAGAACAGCAAGGGCAAATATACAAAAAAGAAATAGCACAGTACCCCTGAAGATGCCATTCAGTGTTGCTGGAACCTAACGAATGAGGCAGAGAGGAGGCTGGAGATACAGGCAGGGTTCAGATAAAGCAGAGCCCTGGCTGAGAAGCTCTAACTTTAGAGTTTTCAATGAATTTTGCAAGCCAGTAGACAACAAATGTTTGCTGAATGAATTAGAGAAAAGAATGGATGAATGCACAGACAGATCTTTAAAGATTAAGCAGGAATTTGATACAGACTTGTTTCCAAAGACCATCTGGGGGTGGAGGGGAGTAGTGTGGAGAACAGGTTTGGGGGAACAGGCCTAGAAGCAGGGAAATCAGTTAGAAGGCTGTGATATTTATTGCAGGTTAAAGGACAACAGAGATGGAGAAGACCGCACAGATTTAAGAGATGTTTAGTGGGTAAAACTGTAAGGACTTAGTGATGAATGTGATAAGAATTAAGTCCAGGCAAGACGATGAGTTCAGTTTCATTCATCTGAATTTGAAGTGTCTGTGGGACTTGCAGGCAGAGCTGTCCAGCAGGATAGTCAGGTGAGAGTAAAGCTCAGACAGGTCTAAGCTGACAACTTCAATTTGGGAGCACATAGGAGGTAGTTAAAACCAAGCCAGCTGATGGGTTTGCTCAGGCAATGTGTACAGAATGAAAAGAACAGTTTTTCATTGTTCATTATGCCAAAGTCACAAGCAATAGAAACACCCAACATTTTAGGGTAGGAGGAAAACGACACCCACTAAGATGGATCATCAAAGATATTTTCTTTCTTTAGGGGAAAGTGTCTTCTTCTTTCTTCTAGGGGAAAGTGTCAGTTTCCCCTAGACCTTGTTTATACATGACTGGAACACAGACAGAGACAGAAATGACAAATGAAAACAAAGTCTCATAAGTGACAGCATAAAATATCAAAAGCATAAAGGAATTTGCTTTGATCAGAGAGACACTGCATCTTCTGAGACAAAAGGAAAAGTAAAGGGTATAAATATTCATGACTTTAAAAGGGAAAGCAGAGGCAGAAATGTGTGGGAAAGCACATTTCATGACCTTAATTTTCTCCACAAAATAACAGGTAACAAAGAGTAGGTGTCTGGGAGCTTAATGGACAGTTGACAAAAAATATATATAGAATAGTGGCGAAGATCAAGGCCTCTGAATTCAAATATTGGTTCTACCACCTACTTGATGTGTGACTTGAGGCAAGTTGTTTAACCTCTCCAAGCCCTCATTCCCTCAAGTGTAAAGCAGACACCATGGGGTTGTCACAGAGCTAAACGACAAAGTATGTAAAGCTCAGTGTCTGATAAAAAGTATTCAACACTATTATCACTTTTGTTTATAGTGAAGGTAGGGCAAGCAGGGGCTGTGGACATACAAAAAGATCATTCGAAAGCAATAACTGTGTAACTAAGAAGAACGAGGACAAATCTGCATACGAACAATCCCAAAAAGTTCTAAACATAGACCACAGTAATCCCAAATAGAAATTTCATCCCTGCTTTGTTGAGTCACTATCACTGGTATGTATGGAGAAAGGCTTGCTTCTTCTGGCATTCCTACAAGGCCTATTGATGCTGCTGCGAAAGTCCCTCCCCCATTGCCTTTCAGGAAGCATTTCTGGTGGAAACGTTGTCCTTTCCAACTAGCTGGGCCGCCTCCTTGGTAGGACAAGGCCCACTCTAATATTTTTCTGCATGTGTTGCTACCAAGGTACGTACAGCTGTCGGGAGCACACGTGAACAAACGCAAAGTGAGTCGAAGACCAACAGGAGCGCCCGCTCAAACAGCCCAAAAGAGTAAGAGGGGAGGACAGAGAACGCAGCCGTGAGATCAAGGCACATCACTCAAGGGTAGGAGCAGTCTCAGCCTAACGCTCACACCCACGGCACTGAACCCAGCCAACAGAGTAGATAAGCTGACAACCTCCTTACCTCCAAACGTCGGAGACGTACTAGATCACGTTACTCTAGCTGTAACTCATCGCTTCCGGCGCTGATGGATGACGTCAAGAGACCGGCTGGTGCGCGGCTGGTGGCGTCACCAGACCTCTCCTCCACGGATTGGCTGAAAGAGCCTCTCCCAGTTCCCAAATCAAATAGCGTCCGTCCCCATTGAGTTCTCCTGGGGCCGCGGTCCAAGTGAGGTTCCTGGCAGTTATCCTGGTGGGGACCAGCTGTCTCAGCATCTCTCTACCTCAGGGCCACTCGCCTGTCACTGCCTCACAGGGTCTGAATTGGGTGACACTTCGGACTCAATCCCTCTGTGGACGTTTCTAGGTGGCTGTGCAGCTTCTCGATACTCCGTAAGGAGACATTCACAACCTTTAAGGCCATCTCTCCTGCTGCAGGCAACCTGCTGTAGCACTGCCACTTGCTTTTTAAACTACAATCCGCTTTCTCCCTTGTGCGGGGAGGAAAGAATGGAGGGATAAGAGGCGGAGAAACTTGTTAAGATTTTTGTAGTGTTGTCTACACTAAATGAACTGTGGAGCAATCCGGGAGAAGAAAAGCAGGATGCAGGGATAAGATGCATGTACTGATTTTTTAATAGCAATTCCAGGATGTTCCCTAAAAATCATATTGCAATTATTCAAAGGCATTTTGGCAGAAGGAACAATCCCTATCTCGGGGTGAAAGTATAGTTTATCATTTTTCTCAAATACAACACACTGGCAAAGATTCTTTGGTTGCATTAGATTTCTGAATTTGCTGCTAGGCCCATCTGTGCACTTCCCTACAAATCCAGTTTTAGCACAGACCCTTGCTAAGTCAGTTTAGCAAAAACCACCACCACCCCTGCCTCTTACCTGATTATCCTCAATATCTGATCAGGTTCCTTATTCTCCACTATACCCCAGATGATGTCTGATCACCTTGGCCTGTCTCCAGCAAGAATCCTGTTGGGTCTATTTAGCCAGAATCTCCTTTATCCCTGATGTGTCCTCTTAGTAATTTTCCATCCACTGACCCCTACACAGCTCCTTAGCCATAAATTCCCACTTGCCCATGCTGTTATTCAGAGTTGAGCTCAGTCTCTCCTCCACTAGAAAACTCTGTTGCAATGAGCCCTATATACCTATCATGAAGTTCCTGAGTAAAGCCTTCCTTACCATGCTTTAGCAAGTATCATTGAATAATTTTTTCTTTAACAACATTGAGACTTAAGGAGTCACATTCTTCATCAAGGTGGAGCATTGTTTCTTTCCATGGAAAAGCAGAGACTTAAGGGTATGATGGAGCTATCTGAGTTTTCAAGACAGAAGGTGGGAGGATCTTCCAAGAAACACAGAATACAGGCTTGCTTTTGTTAGCAGAGAAGATGCAGGTTTATATTAGGGTCATATGAGGAAGTGGGAAAACACAAGCAGCATCTCAGCAGCCACACAGGCCTCATGGCTAAGGAATGTCGTTCACAACTGCTCAAGATAAAAAGAAGCAACTCTGGTGACCTGACCAGTTTTGTTGTTCCCTCAGAATTAAGCATCCCTTAGCCTCTGGGTTAAAGGTACTTCTTCGACCTGCCTTTGTGTGTCTTGTATCCAAAAGTTGGATTGGATCATTCTAATTACACCATTCACCATATAATGTGTAAAACTGGGCAGAGTTTCCATGTCCTGCTTGTTAGGCCTAGTCCATTGTCTATAGTGATTAGTGGCCAGAAAAGCAAGATCACATGGCACAATGCATAGCTAAAGGTATAGAAGGCACTTAAGACTTTCAGGAACACAAGAACTTTGCGAAGCATGCTTAAGTTTCAAAAAAAAAATTAATAAATAAAATTTTTTTAAAAAGACTTTCAGGAACTTCATATTGCCATGCAACTAACCATTAGAACTTTTTCACCTTGAAAAACTGCAACTCGGCTGGCTGCAGTGGCTCACGCCTGTAATCCTAGCACTTTGGGAGGCCGAGGCAGATGGATCACCTGAGGTCAGGAGTTCAAGACCAGCCCGGTGTGGCAGCACTTGCCTGTAGTCCCAGCTACTCGGGAGACTGAGGCAGGAGAATTGCTTGAACTCGAGAGGCGGAGGCTGCAGTGAGCTGAGATTACTCCACTGCAATCCAGCCTGGGCGACAGAGCAAGACTTTCTCTCAAAAAAAAAAAAAAAAACTCAGTATTGATTAAATAGCTCCCTATTTTCCCTCCTCTAATACATGGCAACCACCATTCTACTTTCAGTTTTCATGAGTCTGATCACTGTAGATACCTCATATAAGTAAAATAAGACAGTATTTGCCCTTTTGTGGTTGGCTTATTTCACTTAATGTCCTCAAGGTTCATCCATGTTGTATCATGTGTAAAAACTTCCTATTTAAAGCTGAATAACACTCCACTGCAAGTACACACTACACATCATACATTCATCCATCTGTGGATATTCCACCTTTGGGCTATTGTGAATAATGCTGCTATGAACATAAGTGTATAAATAAATCTTCAAGATCCTGTTTTCACAATTCACATTTGCAAAGACATGGAACCAACCTACATGCCCATCAACTGATGAGTGGATAAAGAAAATATGGTACATACATACCATGGAATAATACTCAGCCGTAAAAAAGAATGAAACAATGTCTTTTGCAGCAACTTGAATGGAACTGGAGGCCATTTTTCTAAGTGAAGTAACTCAGGAGGGGAAAACCAAATACCACATGTTCTCATTTATAACTGGGAGCTAAGTTTTGGGTATGTAAAGGCATACAGACTGGTATAATGAACATCAGAGATTCAGAAGTGGGGAGAGGGGGAGGAAGGCAAGAGATTTTTTAAAACTACATATTGTGTACAATATACACTACTCGGGTGATGAGTACATTAAAATTTCAGACTTGACCACTATATAATTCATCCATGAAACCAAAAACCACTTGTACTTCTCTAAAGCCATTGAAATTTTTTTAATGTGAAACAATTTTTTTAAATTCTTCAATTATTTATAATATATACACAGAAGTAAAACTGCTGGCTTATATGATAATTCCATTTTCAATATTTTGAGGAACTATCATACTGTTTTCCATAGCAGCTGGATGATTTTACCTTTCTCCCAATGGTGCACAAGAGTTCCAATTTCTCCATATTCTTGCTAATGCTTGTTACTTTTTGATAGCAGCCATCCTAATGGGTGTGAGATGGTATCTCATTGTGGTTTTGCTTTGTATTTCCCTAATGATTAGTGATGTTGATCTTTTTCATAAGCTTCCTATCTATTTGTATGTATCTGGAGAAATGTCTATTCAAGTACTTCAACCATTTTTTAATCAGGTTGTTTTTTGTTTTGTTGTAGGAGTCTTTATATATTCTGGATATTGATATCTGATCAAATATAAAATTCCTATTTCAAAGGGTGCCTTTTCACTCTGCTTGCTAGCTGTATCCCTGGATACACAAAAGTTTTTAATTTTGAAGTAGTCCAATTTACCTATTTTCACATTTGCTGCCTGTCTTTTGGTGTTATATCCAAGAAATCATTGCCAAATCTGTCATGAAGGCTTTTTCTCTATGTTTTCTTCTAAGAGTTTTATAGTTTTAGGTATTATGTTTAGGTCTTTGATCCATTTTGAGGTGTGGTGGGGTTTTTGTGAGATAGAGTCTTGCTCTGTCACCCAGGCTGGAGAGCAGTGGTACAATCACAGCTTACTGCAGCCTCGACTACCCAGACTCAAACAATACTCCCACCTCAGCCTCCCAAGTAGCTGGGACTACAGGCATGTACCACCATGCCTGGCTAATTTTTTTAATAGAGACGGGGGTCTTGGTATGTAGCCCAGGCTGATCTTGAACTCCTGGGCTCAAGCAATCTTCCTGCCTCAGCCTCCCAAAGTGCTGGCATTACAGGTGTAAGCCACTGTGCCTGGCCTTGAGTTCATTTTCTGTACTACGTAAGGTAAGTCTCCAACTTCAATTTTTTGCATGTGGATACTCAGATTTTAGCAATACCATTGTTGAAAAGACTGCCCTGATAGCTGTTTCAAGATGAAGCTGAACATCTCCTTCCCAGCCACTGGCTGCCAGAAACTCATTGAAGTGGACGATGAACGCAAACTTCGTACTTTTTATGAGAAGCGTATGGCGACAGAAGTTGCCGCTGACGCTCTGGGTGAAGAATGGAAGGGTTATGTGGTCCGAATCAGTGGTGGGAATGACAAACAAGGTTTCCCTATGAAGCAGGGTGTCTTGACCCATGGCCGTGTCCGCCTGCTACTGAGTAAGGGGCATTCCTGTTACAGACCAAGGAGAACTGGAGAAAGAAAGAGAAAATCAGTTCGTGGTTGCATTGTGGATGCTAATCTGAGCGTTCTCAACTTGGTTATTGTAAAAAAAGGAGAGAAGGATATTCCTGGACTAACTGATACCACCGTGCCTCGTCGCCTGGGGCCTAAAAGAGCTAGCAGAATCCGCAAACTTTTCAATCTCTCTAAAGAAGATGACGTCCGCCAATATGTTGTAAGAAAGCCCTTAAACAAAGAAGGTAAGAAACCTAGGACCAAAGCACCCAAGATTCAGCGTCTTGTTACTCCACGTGTCCTGCAGCACAAACGGCGGCGTATTGCTCTGAAGAAGCAGCGTACTAAGAAAAACAAGGAAGAGGCCGCAGAATATGCTAAACTTTTGGCCAAGAGAATGAAGGAGGCTAAAGAGAAGCGCCAGGAACAAATTGCGAAGAGACGCAGACTTTCATCTCTGCGAGCTTCTACTTCTAAGTCTGAATCCAGTCAGAAATAAGATTTTTTGAGTAACAAATAAATAATATCAGACTCAAAAAAAAAAAAAAAAAAAAAAAAAAAGAAAAGACTGCCCTTTCCTCACTGAATGGTAGTGACATACTTATTGAATATCAATCATTTATACAAGGATTTATTTCTGGGATTTCTATTGTATTCCATCAGTCTGTATGTCTGTCTTTATGCTAGCACTACACTGTTTGGATTACTATAGCTTTGTAATATTTTTTGAAATCAGGAAGTATGAGAATTTCATTCTTTTTTTTTTCAAGATTGTTTTTGGCTACTCTGTTCAAGGTTTTGTTGTTTGTTTTAATTCCAACAGTTAGAAATGAGATCTCACATGAAAATCCG